TCCAACCAATTTTTGCTCAATGCACCGCCACTCTGGTAGCCTGACGTAGTCCTACTCAATTCTAGTCAGAATATGAGTCTGATACTGCTCCATAGAGCTGTGATTATTGTTTTCGAACGAACCAGAAAAAAAATGCCTCTGCACTCAATTGGATAGACCTACAACCAATAAGAGCAACGGAATGCGTGACATACGTTAAGCAACGCATAATTGTTGTCAACAAAAATCAAAGTGTGCAGTATAGAATAAGAAGATGAGCCTTGATCGCGTTTCTCTGTTCCTCTTTTAAAATTAATTTGCTGTCGATATCTTGTAGAACAATAATAATACATTTTATTTAAAAAGGCGCCTTTCTGGACACTCAAGGTCACCGTACAAAAGCATAAAAAAGTGTCAGAAAAAATAAAAATAAAGACATTTAAAAACATTTAAAAAATACAGAGGCTGTGACAGTGAAATTGAAATTTAAAGAGAATAAGCAATCTTGAACAGATGGGTTTTGAGTTGCATTTTAAAATGGAGAATTGAGTCTGTGTTTCTAAGTTGGGGTGGTAGAGACTTCCAGAGGCGGGGGGCAGAGCGGCTGAATGCTCTGCTCCTCATGGTGGTGAGACGGGCAGAGCGGACAGACAGGTGCAAAGCAGATGAGGATCTAAGAGCACGGGAGGGGGTGGGAACATGCAGGAGGTCTGACAGATATGGGGGGGCAAGGTGGTGAAGTGCCTTGAATGTCACCATGATAATTTTATATTGAATGCGGAACTGTACGGGGAGCCAGTGGAGCTGTCGGAGGAATGGAGTGATGTGGTGGATAGAGCGAGTTCTTGTTATGATGCGAGCAGCTGAGTTCTGGACCAGTTGTAGTTTGTTGAGTGATTTCTGAGGAAGTCCAAAGTGGAGGGAGTTGCAGTAATCCAGTCGGGAGGTGACAAGGCTGTGCACAAGTATGGCAGTAGTGTGTGGGGTAAGGGAGGGATGGAGGTGGTTGATGTTTCTTAAGTGGAAGTAGGCAGACCGGGTAATGTTATTTATATGGGATTGGAAAAAAAGTGTGCTATCGAGGATGACACCCAGACTCTTAACCTGGGGGGAGGGGGAGATGGAGGAACTATCAATAGTGACTTGGAAACTGTCGGTTTTGGAAAGAGTTGATTTGGTGCCAATGAGGAGAACCTCGGTTTTACTACTGTTTAATTGAAGGAAGTTGTTGGTTAACCAGGCCTTTAATTCACAGATGCAATTTGTGAGGGAGGTGGGCGGAAGAGAGGACGATGGTTGCGTGGTGAGGTAGAGCTGGGTGTCATCGGCATAGCAGTGGAAGTGGATGTTGAATTTACGGAAGATATTGCCAAGGGGAAGGAGGTAGATGATGAAGAGCAGGGGCCCCAGAACAGACCTGATAGCAGAATCTACACACCTCAACTCTCCAGCGGCAGCCATTGTTGTCGTCACCCATGGGTGCTTTGGTCCATCATCATATAAAGCCCGCCCTGACAATTTGATTGGCCCGCCAGATATTGTGCGAGCATACTCACGCTACTATTAAGCAATGCCAGGCCGAACTTCCCGACCTCAAACGTTGTGGGCGGGACTTAGTTCGGAATGGCACCCAGGCTACCACTCTGGCAGATACCGCTGTGGCGCCCTATCTGTAATTGAGGCAATCACAGTGGAAGACAGACCGACTCAAACCCCACATAACATGGATACCAGTATCTGCAGATGAACATTTGCAGACGTGCTTTTTTATCCATACATTTAATTTTGATACCTTGTAAAATACAATAATATATAGTGATATTGTTATATCGTGTCGTGACACGTATCGTATCGCAACACCAATGCCAATACTCACCCCTAATGCCGACTTATCAGATTTGGTCTCCAATGGTTCTATTGGCCTAACCAATTTTGGCCTTTAGTCAGCAAAAATGAAAAACAAAAATCAAAGGGTTGAAACATAACTTTATTTTTTTGTTGGTTTTTCTTACAGTATTTCATCTGAACAATTTTTAAATCCAATACAGTTTCTTTACATCTTTAATATCGTTGCAGTTTCCTGTATGAGTTTTTTTTCTTCCCCCCCTCTCTCCATGTTTATGTTTGTGTGTCATGTTCAGCTGAAGTGTGTAAAGTTTCTCGTCACTCATTCATACCGTCGGTAAAGTCCAGTCGGGTCACAGTACGGCGTTTTATTCGGAGCAACAGAAAAGCATTGATATGGACAAGAGAAAATAAATACGAAGAAAAGTAAAAAGATGCGAGGACCAGAGCAGAGGATGCGTCTGGACCGGTTAGTGATGCTATATAAAGAGGAATTAACAAAAAAATTGTAAACATTTGGAGCAGACGTGATTTGAATGAGCCGAGTTAGGCTTTATATTTCCATTAAAGACACCCACAGCGCTCCGGACGGAAGACAAGTTAGATATGAGACTTTTGCTCACTTATGATAAACAAGACTACTGATCATGCAGCCTGATTAGACATAAGCAAATATCCCTAAAAAAAAATCAGAAGAGAAGCAGAAATGCTTGGGTACTCACCTATTCTTTTCTTTTTTTGCGTTATTCATCCTGTTAAGAGTTCTACCGAGGTTCTTTTTTTTCCCCTCCACTTCTCAGAAGTGATTAGAATTGTGTTTAAATCCCTGTCAATGTATCAGAACATACATAGTTTAAATAACACTTTTTAATGTAAATCGATGCACTTTTTTCTGAATCCTAAACGTTTCAACTCAGAAAAAAATTAAACAAAAAAATAAAAATTAAATCGGAGAATATTTTTTAATCTGAATTTAATTTCCGGACAGAGAAAAAAAAAGAAATAAGAGGGACTGAAATTGAACTTTGGTGGATTAAATTGGCAGTGAGGTTGGTGCCGGTCTCTGAACTGAGACCGCTAAAAGGGGAAAAAATAAAAAAATAAGATTCGTGCCGTCAAGTCAGTCCTCCCACCCCTCCCAGATAATTAGACATCATTGTTAAAGAATGCCACTTATAGAAATAAAAAATGGCAAACGATGTAAATTGAAAGATAAGGAAAATAGAGCAGCAATGGTTTGCACTGAAACATGCGCACATTCAAGTAAATAAAGATATAAAGAAATAATCTACAAGTCAAAGACAGAAACGTAAGATCCTCCAGTCTTTGTTGGTCGGATTGGCACTTTAGTGAGCAGGAGTGCATTTTTCGTGTTAAGAAATATAAACATTTTTTTCCTTGTTGATGCAATGATTTTTTTTATACATCTATTTATATATATATATATTTATATATTGCAATTCTGGCATTATTTTTGTAGGCCAAGCACAGAATTGGCCAAAAAAACCAAAGACTTCTGCTCTACACTTCTGTCAGGTAGAGGTAAGATGTTGCTTTATTCATGGTTTGACTTCTCCTGTCGGCCGGGGCTGCTGGCGCTCTGTGGATAAAGCTCAGGAAATCATCTGCTATTCATTCCTCTGGCAGATATGGTGCAGAACTGGGCTTCATGATAAACCCCGCCGCGGTTGGTCGTCCCACCGTCCGAACGGCGTTAATAATATGGAGCTTTTAATGCCTTTGAAGTCTTTGTTTTTCAGCCTGGATTATTCATAGAAAAAATTTCCTACGTATTTTAAGAGGAACTAGGTGACCAGTTTGGATTCCCTGTGGATTTTCTGTTCATAATTATTCCTACAGACTCACATATACATACACCCTTAAGTGTCTGAAGAACTAGCATATTTCAGCAGGAAATGGTTTAAAAATATGTGATTTTCTCCAACATTAACCTATAAACTAAACTTTAACAGGCAGGATCGTTTTAGATTCCCAGGAGTTGTTTTGAAGAACGTTTAAAGTCATTACTAGGTTTGAAGGTCCCCACTGTGACTGCCTAAATGAAAGGTTAGCGAAGAAAAAAAGGTCCTGATCCAACCTGGATCATCTCAAGCTAGATGGAAGGTGTGCAGCTGGCCAGACTGGAATGAGGGAACCAACCAGCCTCACTTTTTAACTAGTGCTCTCGGAAAACTTTACATCCCCCCGAAAAAAACAAAACAAAAACATGATAATCGCCTTTTAAACATGGCAGTACTGAGGTACTGACCAGGAATACATACCAAAAAAGGGTTTTGGAAGACGTTAAGCTTCAATGTATGGAGTAACATTCTTCCAACCAATTTGCATAAATCTGAACAGTTCAGGTATAAAAAAAAAAAAAAAGGATTTCTACCACTCTGAGTGGGGAGGGGATGTATGGATCTATCTGAGCCTTTAGGTTAATTAGATTCCCCCAAAATTGGCAATAAACTGAAACTTATATTCATGTTTTGAAAGAATCCATAAATCATTTCATCATTTAGTATCTCAAAGGCATTAAAAGCACCAGATTAGTTTGACACCTGCTAGATGGACCTCTACATTTACTGCTTTTTTCCCCCCAAAATAATAACACTACTAATAATGATAAAGTCTAAACGCTCCAAGGCAGGTTTTTTTTTTCCTTTAGAGAAACCCTGATTGTGTTCCACGCCATAGTAATCCACAGACCAGCAGCTCCCCGACTCTGATTGGGACATTTTCTGATAGATTCAATCAGCCTCCTCCCTCACACAGCGCCTGTCAGTCAAAACTCACACAAACACACCTCGGCTTCATCTAGAGGCTCAGCGCTGACCGGCCTGATCAGAAGCCCCGCCCATTCGTGGTCACACGTCCCATGGCTAGAAACAACTACAAGTTTCCATAACACGATTTTTGCTTTAAGCAACATTTTTTCAATTTAGTTCAAATAATTACTGCAAAAAGAAAAAGGAGGAAGAAGAACATTTCCTCTCTTTAAAGGGAAGCTGGTTTTTGCTTCTAGCCACTCATCCATGTGAGGTGTGTTTCAGCTGGTGTTGTATGCAAGTGTGCATGAAGTGTAAGTAAAGATATACATTAATGCAAAAAACCCCAGCAAAATCAAAATATACTTCTATTAGTTACTTGTCATTTTGATGCAGTTAGGCTAGTTACCTCCAGCTGTTTTTTTTTGTTTTTTTTCTTAGTTTTGTTTTTTTTTTTTTTAGACCCACACAGAAGAAGCAGATTGTTCCAAGCTTGGGCGCAGGAGAGGCTATTTACATGAACGACACCCACACGCAGCACGACTGTCTCATGCAAAGTCATCTCCGTTTTCTCAAAGGTATAGTGATGTCGAATGCCGGAGGCTAATTTTAATCAAGTCTACCGCTAAAGAAAACACCACCGTGGTCACTAAACTATCACTATTCACACCACCGAAAGTTACCGTGTTTTAATCCGGCTTCTTTATCCGACCCAAAATGTTCACATGAACGATCCACAGTGATTTGCCGCCACCTCCCTGTACCAGCTGCGTCTGGACAGGGGTCCTATGAGACTGCAGAGGCCCTGCCCTACTGGGCGCCGAGCAGCAAACCCCGCCTCCTCCAGGGGCTCTCTGGAACCGCTAAGCTATGAAACTTTCACTACTTCAAAGAATAGTTTAATGATTCCTTTTTTTTTCTTCACGTTTACAATCCGTTAAACACAGCCGGACATGAAAATAAGTTAGGTTTGCTGCTGCAGAGGGCTCTCAATAATCCTAAACTATGCCTTGCTTAATAGATCACTTCATAATTCAAATGTTATTAACACAGCACACAATGAAAATTTGGATATTCCAATATTCCCGTCATGGAAAAAACTTGGATTTCATTTTAATGGTTAAAGAAAAAAAATGAAACGTCCTTTCCCTAAACTCCAATCGTAGTCCTTCCTTTGTTTACGTTCATCTGTTATAAACATCTTCCCTCCCCTTTAAACTTAAAAGTCCTCCCTTTGCTTCGCTGGAAGCTTTTTAACCAACCCTAAGCTGAACAACCAGGGCATCTTTTTGTAAAAAAACAAAAAAAAAAATTCTATTTCCATTTACAGAAAAGGAAAAACACCTATAAAGAAAAAGATAAATAAGGGTTAGAGGTAAATAACATAAAAAAAAGGGGGGGGGAGTTGTGCCTACAGTGAACTGCACAAACTGGGCGTTTTATGCCTCAAACTCCCCCGTTGGTGGACTGCAAAGGGGCCGGGATAATCCAGACAACAGGAATGTCCCATCGCTAAAGAAATTTAGATAAATGGTTACTGCCGGCAACAGGATCTAAGAGCTATCAAACGGCAGAAACAAGTCCAGGTGTGCACGTTTCAAACCACTTCAGGTTTTTAGGTGATCAGTTCCCCCACTTGGGTATTGAGTTTGTGAGAAATGCCCCAAATGGCCAGAAAAAAAACCCAACTAAGCAAAAAACAGGAAAGAAAAATCAGCCCTGTGAGAATATTTGTCCTCTGCTAGGAAAGCTTGGATGAAGGAGCCACGGTTTCAGCTTTCCTCCATTAGGGCAGGTTGGTTTGTGTGCTTGCAGAGATCAGGCAAGAGAACACAGTGGCATGACTCCGGCGTCATGGGCTGGGTGCCAGGGGGAGGGGGGCGTATACAAATGGACAGGGGTGAGTGGTTCACTGATGAGGACTTAGAGCTGGAAGCCCTCCATTGGAGCTTCTTGCTGAGGGAAAAGGAACTGCTGGTTGGCCTGGTCCACCTGAGGAGCGAGGCTGCTGTCCTCATCCTCCACGCCGAAGTAACGCTCGATGAGGTCAAACGCCTTCTGGTAGATCTCCTGGTTGTCGTGGCTCTGGAGGAACTCAATCTTGTCCAGTCCTGTAAAAAAAACAAATCAATATAAGAACACAGCGAGGAGCTTAAAACCCTTTCCTTAAAACAATAAATGAGGTATTTCTCCCATAAGTTGGGAGTGTCGTTATCTTTGCTTTTTTGTGAAGGGATTTTTTAAAGAACTGCTTCAAAGGCCACCATCTGACTTTCTGGTAGTTCAGCTATAAAACAGTAGGTGGCGCCTTGTCTGTTCATGTCAGCTGTAGGCCTGTAAATTCATTTAACTCTAAGTGGGTTTTTCTCCTAAAGCCGGGCGTATACTGTATGTAGTGTTCAGGAGGTAACGAGGGGCGATCAGCCTCTCACCACCACCTTCCGATCAGGAATCGTGAGGTCGGGAGAGAATCAAACACGTTTGATTTTCAGTCAGCTGCCGTGGGCAAATCGCTCGGTGAGCAAACAAGGATTCTTTTACCTTTTAGACAAAAACACAGAAGCATGGCGGAACTGCAATGAGTGAAATAGAGTTCTTTCTGTAAAATTGACAGACCATAGTAGCCACGTTGGCTCAGCCATGCCTTTGTCCAAGTACGTCCTCGCCTTAACTTTTTAGGGTTTTCAGCACAAAATTGCACAAATTGCCGAGGCAGCACGTTTCTCTCTAGTGAGGTTTGACTTGCGGATAGACTAGTCAGAGTAGCACCACCTCACTGCAGAGCTGAGTCCAAAGTGGTTTTTAGAAACCCTGCGGTTTCCTCGTACAGTGTAAGCTGTAGCTGTCTGCAACGAGTGAACCAATCACACAATGTACAGGTGCTGGTCATAAAATTAGAATATCATGAAAAAGTAGATTGATTTCAGTAATTCCATTTAAAAAGTGAAACTTGTATATTATATTCATACATTACATACAAACTCATATATTTCAGATGTTTATTTTGTTTAATTTTGATGATTACAAATGACAACAAATGAAAATCTCAAATTCATCATATCAGAAAATTAGAATATTGTGAAAAGGTTCAAAATTGATGGCCCCTGGTGCCACACTCTAATCAGCTAATTAACTCAAACCACCTGCAAAAGCCTTTAAATGGTCTTTCAGTCTAGTTCTATAGGCTACACAATCATGGGGAAGACTGCTGACTTGACAGTTGTCCAAAAGACGACCATCGACACCTTGCACAAGGAGGGCAAGACACAAAAGGTCATCGCTAAAGAGGCTGGCTGTTCACAGAGCTCAGTGTCCAAGCACATTAATAGAGAGGCGAAGGGAAGGAAAAGATGTGGTCGAAAAAAGTGTACAAGCAAGAGAGATAACCGCACCCTGGAGAGGATTGTGAAACAATACTCATTCAAAAATGTGGGGGAGATTCACAAAGAGTGGACTGCAGCTGGAGTGAGTGCTTCAAGAACCACCACACACAGACGTATGAAAGACATGGGTTTCTGCTGTCGCATTCCTTGTGTCAAGCCACTCTTGAACCACAGACAGCGTCAGAAGCGTCTTGCCTGGGCTAAAGAGAAACAGGACTGGACTGCTGGTGAGTGGTCCAAAGTCATGTTCTCTGATGAAAGTAAATTTTGCATTTCCTTTGGAAATCAAGGTCCCAGAGTCTGGAGGAAAAGAAGAGAGGCACTTCATCCATGTTGCTTGAAGTCCAGTGTAAAGTTTCCACAGTCAGTGATGGTTTGGGGTGCCATGTCATCTGCTGGTGTTGGTCCATTGTGTTTTCTGAGGTCCAGGGTCAACGCAGCCACATACCAGGAAGTTTTAGAGCACTTCATGCTTCCTGCAGCTGACCAACTTTTTGGAGATGCAGATTTCATTTTCCAACAGGACTTGGCACCTGCACACAGTGCCAAAGCTACCAGTACCTGGTTGAAGGACCATGGTATCCCTGTTCTTAATTGGCCAGCAAACTCTCCTGACCTTAACCCCATAGAAAATCTATGGGGTATTGTGAAGAAGAAGATGCAATACACCAGACCCAACAATTCAGAAGAGCTAAAAGCCACTATTAGAGCAACCTGGGCTATCATAACACCTGAGCAGTGCCACAGACTGATCGACTCCATGCCACGCCGCATTGCTGCAGTAATACAGGCCAAAGGAGGCCCAACTAAATACTGAGTGCTGTACATGCTCATACTTTTCATGTTCATACTTTTCAGTTGGCCAACATTTCTATAAATCCTTTGTTTTTATTGGTCTTCAGTAATATTCTAATTTTCTGATATGATGAATTTGAGATTTTCATTTGTTGTCATTTGTAATCATCAAAATTAAACAAAATAAACATCTGAAATATATGAGTTTGTATGTAATGTATGAATATAATATACAAGTTTCACTTTTTAAATGGAATTACTGAAATCAATCTACTTTTTCATGATATTCTAATTTTATGACCAGCACCTGTATGCCTGGCTTTAGATACAAACCTTTTATACTTATACATAATCAGGGTTCTCGCCAACGTATTTCAACATAGCAGTCCGTTGCGTTAAAAATAAGTCACCTTGGGACCAGGGGTTGCATAGGGGTTGAGCATGTGGCCCATGATATGAGGCTTTGGTCCTCGACATGGGTCGTCACAGGCTCTAGACTCCGCCTGGTGACCTTTGCTGCATTCTTTCTTTCCAATCCCATTTTGCTTACCATCAAAAATGAAAAATAAAGGCCACTAGTGCCTGATAAATAAAAATAAAGTTGCTGTTTTACTGAAAATCAGGCTAATGTACTCATTTTAATATAATGTCCCTTTGACTGATATCTGTGCTTCCACAATGGGCAGAAGTGATCAACCCTTTACTTATGCCCTCTTTAAATCTTATATTTTCAGATTCAAATCAATTTCTTTCGATTTCTTTTTTAATTTCAAAATCCTTTTTCAGTTTCAGGATTTTTTTCTTTTTTTTTTTACATTCAAATTTTGACCCCAATGTGACAGGAGTGGGCAGGGAAACATGATTGACAGCTAGTAGCAGCGCTGGAGAGAAGTCCCTTTCCATGTTGCATTCATGTACTGTTGGTAAGCTGAGGGGAAGAATTTAGATTCAATTCTTATCATTTTATGTTTGCTTTTTAGTTTCTCAGATTATAAGGCAAAAATCTGACATTCAATATAAACTTCTATTTTTCTTCTTTTCTAAATTTTAATTTTTCAGTTTCAACTAAGATTTATTATTAACATTTTGCCCCATTTCTGACTCCATAAAGGACCCTCAGCTGACCAACAATGTAAAGAAAAACGTCCTGGAATACTTGAAAAAGAAGTATTCAGATCTAAACACTGAAAAAGTGGAATTCCTCCCAATGAAAGCAGCCAAAGAAATAAGGGCCGTTTCTTGATTCACAAGAACATGAGTACGGACTCGTGTCCTCACCAAGTAAGGAAAGTATGGACTCAAGGAGAATGGGAGTACATTAAATTATAAATCTGGGTCAGTAACAGAAGTGTACACGTGGCGTCACCATTTTAGAAGCTAGTCTGTAGCTGCATTTCACCTCCGGTTATTAATATTCCTTAAGATAATAATATATTCTTACTTTTTCATTTAGTGGGGGAATTATAATGAACACAGTCAGATAAACACAAATCAAATGAGCATTTTCCCAAACAATCGCCATCAGAGCCAGCGGTACTTCAAACACAGCTATGCGAAGAGAGTGCTGCTGCAGACGGGCTAACGTTAGCCTTGGCGGTCCACTGGTTGCCACAGTCCTTTCAACATCTGAACTTTTGTTTCAAATTAAGCAAAAACGGACTAGTCTGCTCTGATGTGTGCTCAAGCAAAGAGGGAGGGGTGAGAACAACATCCAAGGATTTTGTTCATTATCGGTCTTGTGAATTGGAACAGTGCTGAGGCTAATGTTAGCAGAGAACGCACAAGCATGCATACTGAGGAATGGCCAAGGAGTAAGTCACTGACATGGCAGCAGCAGCAGGAAGTCAATCAGCGGGGATAGTCTCTTTCAGAAGAGGGGAAAAAAAGAAAAAGGTCCTGGTTCAGCTTTTTATTTTTAAGAGACAAAGCAACAACAGCACAGGGTCTGTTAAGACACTGTCAGAGGAGCTTAGAGGTGGACAGCCCTGTCCTGGGGATTTCCTTTTCCTCGTGTTGCTAAACTGGCACAGCAATATTTGAACATCGTCATGGTCCACAGGGCGGCCCTTAAAACTCATGTCTAGAAGGAGTGAAACTCAACATTACCAAGTTTTTCCAAGCTGATGGCCGATTCATTATTTAGGTATCAAAACCCCCTTCACTTAGTATCCATTATTTACGATTTGTAGTTAAACTTGCGTATTATTTTAATTTTAATTTCTAAATGGAAGAAGAGAAAGCAAATATCAGCAGCACATATCATGAATCAGATAGACTGATTTTAAAATATGACCCGCTTTAAAAGAAAATTTCATGACTTGCCTAAAAGAGAATTTACTCTTTTTTCCCCCCCAAAAAGTAAAATAAAACTTTGTTTCTTAATCCAAATCTGTTCAAATGAATGTCAGCAGCTTAGAGGTGATAAACGAGTGAGTACCGTAGGCCTCTTCGATGAGGCTGCAGTAAGGGTTGACGCCGGTGCCGTTGTTCTCCTGCTTGGCCTCCTGCTCGCCGAGCCTCAGGATGTTCTCCAGACCGTTGAGAGCCACCTGGACAATCTTAGAGTCCATCACGGTCAGCAGGTCACACAGAGGCTTGATGCAGCCCAGGTTCACCAGATACCTGAATACAAACAGGAGGAAACATAATAAACTAAAAATAAGCTCTTTTGGGCTTCTGGTTTGGACCACCATCACAATGGCCGCATAGTGAGAGCGCTCCTGGTTGAACCGGAGTAATTAGAGAAATTTCCCCCATATAACCCAAGTAAACATCTCAATATAATAACTTTAAAAGGGGGCAAGTCTGTACCACCACTTCGAGACATAAACGCCGACTAAAGTCGAGAAGGTGAGAGAGAAGAGACGCAGCAACAAATAGCCGCTAACGAGTGAAGCTAGCAAGCCTCGAGAAGCAGCGCCTAAAAATGACCGACACCGAGTTGATCTTGCAGGAACTAAAAGGGTTTCGCCAAGAAAATAAAGAACAATTAGAGACGATAAAAGAAGAAATTGCTAAGATAAACACAAGAATGGAGGAGGTGGAGGGGCGTATGGAGAAGGCAGAAGAAAGGATTCAAAATACGGAGGAGGTCATCACGGCTATGCTAAAGCTACACGCTAAGATGGAGGACAAACTGACGGATCTAGAGAGTAGATCCAGACGCGAAAATATAAGGATGTATGGGGTACCGGAGGGATCCGAGAAGGAATCGACCATGATCTCATTCGTCGAAACCCTGCTACGCCAAGGTCTTGAGTTAAATGAGGACACCCCTGAACTTCACATTGAAAGAGCTCATCGGTCAATGGGACCGCAGCCACCAGCCGACGCGCAACCGCGCTCCATCATTATTAAGTTCTTAAGCTTCAAAACTAAAGAGATGATACTCCGCAAGGCCTGGCAGAGGAAGGGGTTTGAATGGCACGAAAACCACATAAACCTGGACCATGACTATCCACCACTCATACTTAAAAGAAGAAGAGAATATACAGAGATCCGCAAAGTTTTGAAGGAAAACAACATCCACTTCCAGACCCTCTTCCCCGCGAAGCTGCACGTTCGATATGAAGAGGGAACCAAAACTTACGATACGGCAGAGGAGGCATCAGAGGACCTGCTGAGACGAGGCTTCACTGTGTCAATCATCAAACCTCCGGAGACGCTCATGGAGAGGGTGCAGCAACTGTCCTGCACGAGAGTGGAGAGACGAGCGGCGAGAGGCGCATTCAAAGCCGGCCGCGGTGCCGGCTACAAGGAGAAGCTGCGAGCCTTCAGGAGAACGTCTGCGGCTCCCTCCGGGACCTAGCGGATCCTCTCCAAACTAACGACGGCGGGACGAACTGTGAAACATCTTCAACCAGATCCGTAGCTAGTGGTGGAAACTAATTATAGAATAATCCGGTTTGATCGGGACTTTTTCTTTTTTTCCCGACACGCGACTGTGGCAGGTAAGGGCCCCTCCCTCCGGTCGGAGGAGGGGGAGTTTTCCCTTCGAACCCCTTGTGGGGAATCAACAGGGTCAGGTTAATAGACCCCTACCTAGGAAGTTATATGGACACACACTGTTCAGTTTTATGTTTATTATGTTCATTGTTTGTTCCCTGCTGGTTCTCGCGGGGAGGGGGAAATGCACCAGATTTCTGAGTGAGATGGAGGGGAATTCACATAGATGCAAAATGGATCTTTAAAAGTAGCATCTTTTAATATAAATGGAGTACTCAATCCAGTTAAGAGGGAAAGAATCTTATCAAAATTAAAAAAAGATAAAATACAAATTGCTTTTTTGCAAGAGACGCACCTAAACGAATCAGAACATGTTAAACTAAATAAACGAGGATTTAAGCATGTTTACTTCTCCTCACATGGATCAGGGAGGCGAAGAGGAGTGGCGACCCTCATATCCAAAGCTGTAAATTACGAGCACATCTCAGAATATAACGACAATGAAGGAAGATTTGTAATGGTTATAGGAAAAATAGAAGGAATGGTGATAACTCTCCTTAACGTGTATATTCCACCTGGAAGTGACTGGTCCTTTTTATAAAAAAATAGTCGATGTAATGACAACAAAAAGCAAGGGGATTCTGATATGTGGTGGAGATTTTAACATCAGACTAAATCCAAAAGTTGATTCATCAAATGGGAAACCCGATACAAAAAACATTAGCAGGAGATTAAATACCTGGATGAGTGAGCTGGGGCTCGTGGACGTTTGGAGAGAAAGAAACCCAAATAAACGAGATTATTCACACTACTCACACGCTCACAATGTCTACTCCCGCATAGATTACTTCTTTATGTTCAAGGGAGATCTTTTTAGGGTAAACAGCTGTGAAATAGGACCTAACACTCTTTCAGATCATGGGCCTATATACATCTCAATCCAGCTGAATAACAGGAGAAGGTCCACTCTGTGGAGACTGAACTCTAACATTATGAACAAAACTGAAATCAAGGATAAACTAAAACGTGAAATTAACTTATATTTAGAAAAAAACGATAACGATGAAGTGACTCCTCCTATAGTCTGGGATGCTTTAAAAGCAGTGATTAGGGGTAAAATCATATCCATAACATCACATGAGAAAAGAATCAGAGAAAATAAACCGCAGGAGTTAGAAGAGGATCTGAAAAGACTACAGAGAGAACATGCAAAGTCTCCCAAAGGTGACAATACCAAACATAAAATTAAAAAACTAAAAAAAGAAATAGAAGAAATAAACACTCATGAAATCCAAAAAAAGCTTACTTTTATAAATCACCAATACTATGAGACAAATGGAAAATCCCTGAAACTTTTATCATATAGGTTAAGAAAACAACAAGCCAACAGAACAATACACAAAATAAGAAACAATGTAACAAAGAAAATAGAAACTAATCCAGAAGAGATCAAAAACTGCTTCCAAAAATACTATAAAACACTATATACCCAACCAAATACAAGCAGCAACAGCCAGATCAATACCTTTCTGGAAAAGATCAATCTTCCAACGATCACTGACGAACAAAATAAGAAATTAATATCCAAAATTACAAAAGAGGAAATTCAATCAGCAATCAAGAGAACCAAGAAGGGAAAATCTCCAGGGACAGATGGATTCACTACAGAATGGTATAAAGTTATGCAAGACCAATTAATTCCTATATTAGAGAAAACATTCAACTGGGTTTTAGAAAATAAAAACATTCCCCCCTCATGGCGAGAGGCAGTGATTTCAATCATACCAAAGGAAGGGAAAGACAAGTTGGATTGCGGGAGTTATCGCCCTGTAAGTCTCCTAAACAATGACTATAAACTTTTCACCTCCATATTATCAAAAAGAATAGAAGTCATATTACCAGCTCTAATACACAAAGACCAGACTGGCTTTGTCAGAAAAAGACAGACCCAAGATAATATCAGGAAAACATTGCACATTATGAGAGAAATCACACAGCAAAAACTAGAGGCGTTGATATTAAGCCTAGACGCAGAGAAAGCATTTGATTCGGTGGGATGGTCGTTTTTATATAAAGTGCTCTCAAAATTTGGATTTCATACAACAATAATTGACACATTTAAATCATTGTATAGTAAACCAACGGCTAGAATTAAAATTAACGGAGACCTGACAAATTCATTCATCTTGGAAAGGGGAACGAGACAGGGGTGTTGTGCGTCGCCACTTCTCTTCGCCTTGTTTATTGAGCCCATGAGCCAACTGATCAGGCAGAGGCCGGATATAAAAGGGGTTACAATGACATCTGGGGAGCAAAAACTATCCTTGTTTGCTGACGATCTATTGATAAGTATAACACAGCCCACACAGACTATACCAAAACTGATGATGTTGCTCGAAGAGTTCAGTTTAATTTCTGGTTATAGAATAAATATAAATAAAACTCAGGTATTAATATTTAACTATGATCCACCACCTTCAATTAAAACTGTGTACAATTGGAATTGGGAGGCTGAATCTATCAAATATTTGGGTGTTTCACTACCGAAAGACCTCTCAAAACTGTTTGATAAAAATTATGGACCACTAAATTTGAAAATAAAATCAGACTTACATAGATGGAACGTTATTCCTTTTTTAAGTTTAAGCTCCCGGATAGAATCCATCAGGATGAACATCCTTCCACAGATGCTCTACTTATTTCAATGTCTACCAGTCAAAATCCCACCTCAACAGTTTTTAGAATGGGATAGATTAATAGCGAGGTATTTATGGCAGGGTAAAAAGGCCAGAATTAAGTTTAGAACTTTGCAATTAAAAAAAGAAAAGGGTGGGATGGGCCTTCCCTGTTTACAGGAATACTATCATGCAGCCCAGCTGAGACCTTTAGTCTGTCTCTGTTCACCATCATACACCGCAGCCTGGAAAGAAATAGAAGGCACGACAATAACAGGAATCCCAATAACAGCCCTTCTTTATGATTATAAATTACAGGAAGAACAGCAGATCCCAGATGACTCCATAACAGGTAGTTTTTTCAAGTCCTGGCAGGAGTTGGCTAAAATTTGCAGAATAGGAGACGCGTCTAAAATCATGAGGTGGTGTGCCTATGATTCGGATTTTGCACCAAATAGACTGGATGACAGATTCAAACTATGGATCTCTAAAGGATTAACTTCCTACTATTCATTTGTCCACAAAGGGATATTTCAAAGTTTTGAAACCTTACAGAAAGATCATAAACTGGGAAAAGAGGATTTCTTTAGGTACTTGCAGGTGAGACACTATTTCAACAGTAACCTTAAAGAGGTGCTGAAAAAGAGCGAGTCAATTTTCATGGAGGCATTTTTATCACTAATTAAACCCGGATCAGACGGCAAAATCATCTCCAAATTATATAAGGCCATACAGCTGTCTAAACAAGAGAATACAGAATACATTAAGAGGAAGTGGGAAAAAGAAATTAAGGTTAAAATCTCACAAGAGAGCTGGGAGGATGTTTGTCAATTGCAGTGGGTCTCGACCAGATCAAACACATGGCGGGAGTTCGGCTGGAAAAACATTATGCGATTTTTTGTTACACCCACTCAGAAACGATATCAAAACAATGGGGACGCCTACTGGAGACTCTGTGGGTCTGAAGGAGCGAACCACTTTCACATTTTTTGGGACTGTCAGGTAATAAAACCATATTGGGAAGAGTTCCACAAACATATTGAAAATATATTCAATGTAAGTATTCCATTAAAATGTGAAACATTGTACCTGGGAAATCTACAATTGGACACATGGACTAACAAAGACAAAAAACTTCTGGCTACACTACTGGTTGCCAGTAAGAAGGCCATCACGAGGAAATGGATGAAACCAGACCCACCCACTACTGATGAATGGATTGAAATTGTTTACCAGATTTATGTGATGGAAAAGATCTGTTTTTCCCTCCAATTAGAAAAAGAAAAGTTTTATAAGATTTGGTCCAAATGGACTGAGTACGTGAAACCAGTTAGATCCGACTTCATTTGATTGTTATTCTGAAATATGTCTTGCCCTCTAATGTCTTTGTGGTTTTTATTACTCAAGGTGGTGCAATCCCCATTACTGTTTAATTCTGTTCATTTTTTGTTATCTTTACAACTACGTTAGTGATATTCTGTTAAAAATACCAGAAAGGCAACATGGACAAAATCACTTGGACTTTCTGCTTATATCTTTAGTTATAATCTTGAATGCTTGAAGCTGTGATTACTGATGTAATGGAAATCTGTCTTTCTAAATAAAAAATTATAAAAAAAATAAGCTCTTTTAACTTCACTTATAGGACCCCCCCTTTATTTACCATTTTTTATCTGTGAACTAATCATGTAATACCCATGAACCTAGCAGTGCTAAATCAGCATTTAAATTTGAACCTTTTTATTAATTATGGAAATAAATCCTTTAAATCTGGAGTATGATCAAACTTAATTGAATTTTATCAGGTTTTTTAAGAGACTATTTTTATTTTGGTTCTGATCTACATTTAAAACTTGAAATATGGAGATCTTGGTTTGGAGCCTCATTTATTTCTAACCAACTTGTTCATAAATAAAGAACAAAGAGCATTTCCCTTCCTGAACCATGGATTGTTTTTAATCTCAGTCCTACCTGATCTGCTCCGGTGTTCCTCCAGATGTAGCGTTGGTGATAGCCCAGGCTGCTTCTTTCCTGGTTCTGAATTCTGCTTTCTGCAAGATTTCAATCAGCACTGGAAAGATGTTGGCATCAATCACCGTCTAGAAAGGAACAGAAAATCTGGGTTAGGGGTCATGAAGCAGCATCTCAAACCGGTTAACTTTATGTTCTTCAGTCATAAATCAGACAGGAATCATATTGAACAGATAAATTTAGAATATTTAAATTAATTAGTTATATGACTCCCGTTAATGATTTCCTTCACCTGGACTAAAAACGGTCATTCTAAGAGTTTACAAATTATGTGAAAATTCATTTTATTAAAGGTGTGCAGCTGTAGTCGGTCACACCACTACATCTGTAGCTCCTGGAACAAATTGTGAGTCTTTTGGGGCGTATTTACTTCGTCCTGAGACTTGAGTTTTTAACCCTATTAAAAATTCCTATTTGCAGAAACGTTCATGGGTGGAAAAACATCAGGATGGATGGAGCATCCTGTAAGTTCTGCCACTGATTGTTAACTGGATTCTGGGCTGTAGGCCCTTCTGACATGCTGCCAAACTGCGAGCTCATTCTCAATCTGACTTATTTTTAGGATTTGGTATCATTTCAAATTACAATAATCGACTTAGATCCTACTTTCTAGATCCAATCCTTTCTGAAATTGGATTTGTGTTATTAACTATATTTGTTTGTATAGTTAGACAACATATTGAATCTGGTCTTATATTAATATTGACTGTGGTTAAAGGTGGCTAAAAGCAAAGTACAAAATGCATTTTTTCAAATCCATGATTGGTTCTATGAATGGATCTTTAAGAATATATATAAGAATCAATGCAGGATTGGAAACCCCCCCCCCCCCCCCCCTTTTTTTTTTTTAAACACAGACCTACTTCTTTTACCCTTTAACAGGTTTTCTTCCAACTCTGTGCTTTAATTAGCTTCATTCATCTCCCCATCAAGTCTGACCTTCTCCCTGGTCTCTGCTGAAGGACAGCGCAGCGCCGCGCCGCCACCACAGTGTCTCTCAGTGGGGGTCAGACTATTTAGGGAGACTTGAAAGCTTAGTTTTCCACCAAACAACCATGAAAGAAGGGAATTTACATTTCTATCTCATCCACTGCAAACCACATTTTCTTTAGGGTTCTTTGGGGAAAATGTGCAGAACCATAAATCATTTCTCTCCAACTTCCCAGAAAAGCTTCAATCTGTGTTGTTTCCATCCCATAAAACCCCAAACTCCATTTAAACTGTTTAGAGAGGGAATGCTGTGGAAAGGTAGTTTATTTTAGCTGAAGAAATCACCTCCTAGCTGTCATTTTGGGAAAAGTAGCTTTAATAAAAGCAATATGGGTTCTAATATTCATTAAAGAGATAATCAAGACATCCAGCGTCAATCTAAGGCGGGTTTCTGTGTCAGCGTGTGTAAAGGTCACCTGTATTTGTGCTCGGTTTCCAGCTGTGATGTTGGAAATGGTCCAGCATGCTTCCTTACGAATAGACTCCTTAGGGCTGCTGAGGAGGTGCAGCAGGCAGGGTAAAGCTGAGCAGTTCAACACCACCTAAACACAACCAGGAGAACACATTTTTTATTACGATTTAGCCCTCTCATTTTCTGGTACATTAATCACTGACAGTCGCTGAAACTCCTTACAACAAGGCGGTTCTAGCCGGATCTAAAGTGGAACCCACCCCCCCAAAAACAGTTAAGCCTACAGGAAACGTGGGGTATTTATGACTCCAACCTGAGTCTGAATGTCATCTCCAGTGACGATGTTTCCCACAGCTCTCAGGGCAGGAGAGGCCACCTTATAGTCAGTGTGCCTGTAGAGAGGAGAAGTTACAGCCTTTTGCAGCTTCAATTTAAACATGAGCCAACAGGCGGCGTGTAGCCCAAGCTTACATGAGCAGCTCCACCAGCCTCCTGCAGACACCGGAGTCGATGACAGCCTGGATCTTGTCATTGGGGCCGTCTGAGAGGTAGGAAAGAGCCCAGCAGGCATCTGCCAGCAAGTCTGGGTCGCTGCTAAACAACAGCCTGGACAGTACCGGCAGACAGGGAGACACCTACACAGCAAAAAACAGGATCTGATCGGACATGATGCCACCTCTGCACTGTCATTAACACACAGAAAAAGGCTAAGGTAACAGAAGATGAGGGGAACTTTCACTAAAACAGCAGCAGAGATTCCTCTTTATCAGCCTCAACTTTCTGTTCAGGACATAAATGTACCTGCTAGTCATCAAAACAAAGCTAAAAACAGTAAATAAACTGCTTATTCAGCATGCTAAAAAAAAACAACTTTCTATTCAACAGTAGTTTTAAATTGGTCTTAGTTTAAGAATACTAACAGTGGTTCGAATTTAAAGACTATGCTAAACATTCTGTGAGGCAGACACCCTGTCTACTTTCAGGCTTGAAACCTTCCTTTTTGATAAAGCTTATAGTGAGAGTGGTTCAGGTTATCCTATCTCTATAGTTATGCTGCTATAGGCTTAGACTGCTGGAGGACATAGGGACCCCTTTTTCATCATTCTATCTCTATTTTCCCACTCTGCACAATATGTTAGTTCAATCTCTAACATTACGCTCTCTCTGCTTTTGCTCATAGTAGCTTCGCCTCGTCTGTTCCTGTTTGGCTGTGACACCATTCTGGAGAGAAATATCAGCTGTGCTGCTGCCATCAACATCTTTATTTATAGATGTTGGAGATTGGCCTGTTTTTCAGTGTAGTCCTGTTTCTCTGACTGTGACTGGCTGGATGTGCTCTCTTCATCCTCTGACATGGGAGCTGACTCGGAGCTCGTCTGCCTGGCTGTGTGTTTCCTGGATGGGGCCGCCTTTTACAGCTGCTTTTTGTATCTCTGCTTCTGTCTCCTTGAACCCCAGTCGGCATCGGCAGATGGCCGCTCACACTGAGCCTGGTTCAGCTGGAGGTTTCTTCCAGTTAAAAGGGAGTTTTTTCTCTCAACTGTCATTAAGCATGCTTAGTGTGAGGGATTGCATTTGAGTCAATGAGTCGATGCAATCAACTAGTTTTCCTTAGATAGAAAACTTTGAATCAATTTGACTACATGGTGTGCCTTGAGATAACACGTGTTGTGAATTGGTGCTATATAAATAAACTGAAAAAAAAAGCAGCAAAAGGCCGCTTTTAGATTTTATCTGTTATTTACCTCACCAAGAGTTGATTTGTGGGAGAAAAATGAAAGCTATGTTATAATAAAACTTTTAAACGGCTTCATCCAAAAATAAATTTCTGTATAAAGATCCTTAGTCTCCTGCCATCAAACAAGAACAGGAAGCTTTGTTTTTACTAGCGCCTTTTTCTTTCCTAATTAGACAAACATGGAAAATGCTTAAAATCCAATTCTTGTCCCCAACTCCAGCAGGAAGATAAAAGTTACCTTTTCAAAAGCAGGTGGAGGATTTTTGCCTCTACAGAGATTAGACAAAGCCCATACTGCATTCCTAGTCATTGTGAGTCTGGTAGATTTGGTCAAAAGCCTAAAAAAATGAAACAAGCAGTTAAACAAAACAAGAGATAACATCAGGAGAGACATCGGAGGCAGAAACCTGTCTGATCAGTAACGAATGAACTTACAGCAGCAGCGGAGGGAGGATGTTACAGTTCAGCACATAGTCCCTGCATACTGCACTGTCCCCGGCTATATTACCCAGAGCCCACACGGCCTGCAGTCACACATATAAGGCAGGTTATTACTGAGCAGAATATGAATCTGTTTGCTGCACATCAACACCATAACATCCTGCCGGATAGTTTCAGATGAAAAAGATGTTTTACTTGTTCTTGGACATCCTCAAAGTCTGAGTTAAGCAGTTCGATAAAGATGGGCACGGCTCCAGCCTCGATCACCGTCTTCGTCTGCAGGGACGTCCCTGACGCGATGTTGGTCAGGGCCCACGCGGCTTCGAACTGCAGCGGCAACAAAAAAAGAAAAACAACTAAATGGAGAGAAGGAGGTGAATCCTTGCTGATGTGTTCTTTAAAAATAAACAAACTATCATCTGATCAGTTTTATGAACTCACCTGTAGTGTGCAGTTGGTGCTCTTCTGCAGAAACTCTACAAACCTTTCCACCACACCAGATGTGTTTATAACTTCATCAATTGGAGGATTAGGCTCTGAAAAGAACAGAATGATGCTTTAGTTACGATGCAAATTAAAGTCGTAGGGAAATGGCCACTCCAACCGTTTCATTTGTGAATTCTCCCGAGTGGTGCCCGACTTTATATGAGTGAATAAAGTGAATGTGATTGGTTGTTTATCAAGAGGGCGGGTTTGTTGTTGCGGAAGGTTCGCAAGCAAGTTTGATTGTAGCCGGTTTCTTACTAGCAACTTATTGCTAGTAGGTTCCCAATGGGAAATTACATTTGAACCAAGTAGCACTTAATTGGGGACAAAGATGTTGTGGAAGAGGACGCCAGGGTGGCAGAAGCTTGGTTTGGTGTAGAAGGCTTCCAGCCGTACATGTTTGAGTCCTTGCCTCACAGCGCTGCCAGTTCTGTTAGCTCTACGCCTGTTGAAGACACAGACGTCCATCCCCGTGAACACTGGGACGGAACTCGATGGGAAAGAAAATGATTCTTATTTCAACCGTTGCGTATATTAGCTGCAACTTATGAATCAAGACGCTATGACCAAAAAGATTAGATTGATAGATGACCGTTGATATATGATTGGCCAAATTTAGGTGTACAGGCTGACGTATAACTAACTAGCCTGCATAAGATAATGAAAAAACCCCCCCCACAGATTTTAAGACAGGATTTCTCAGAGGGAAGGCGTCCGCTTTGCCCGGGGGGCTAGTCTGAATATGGAGGCTAAGAGATACATACCTCACGTAAGATTATGTGCTTATAACTTTTTTTTTTTTACAGAACTTCGCTTAAATTAATAGGTAAATAAATCTCAAACTGTAATTGAAATGCATTTTATATGTCTGTAAAATGCAAAAAAATGCTCTTTTAAATAAAGAAATTATTTTTTTAAAAAGAACAAGCAAAGGAGAACTAAATATTTCTGCTGGTATTAAAACATTTGGCCCCACGAAGACTTCACTCGGTGTACCTTTGGAAAGTAGTTTTCTGAACTTTTGTGTTGTGGCGAGCTGAAGTTCTGGGTCATCTGAAAAAAGCATCTCCACCATATCTCTGGTAATAACTCCTTCCTAAATGAAAACAAGTAAAAGGATTCTGAGTAGCTGCTACCTTCTGCTCATATACAAATATATATTGTAATCAACAGGAAAAAATAAAGCAGCCTTTGAAAGAATCAAACTAAACCATAAGTAAAAACTCACTGTTGCTGGAGAGTTGAGGTATGAGTCCACCAGCGGACTCTCAAACATGACCTCCTCTTCATTCAGAACGTCCACATTTCTTCTCTTGAAAAGCTGCAAAAAACCACAGAGTCCCAATGTTTAGAACACAACAAGACTTTAACGTCTTTCTTTAAAACTGGATTAAAACAAAGAATCTGTAAAAGCCAACGCACCTGCTGTTCTCGTTTTTGTTTCCTGAGTTGGATGCCTTCCTCTTCTCTCCTACGCCTCATCTCGTCTGGGTTCAGTGCTTTGTTCTTGTAGCGGTTCATCCTGTAGTTGTCCTTGGCCGGACTGGCTGACGGTTCTGATGGCCCACAGAAAACACGGACATGTGATTATGACATGAGCCGGGAACAAACACAAACTGATTCCACATTGGAGGTGAGCTCAATGAGAACACCGTGTGTAAGAAAACACGAGCAAACATGTGACAGGTTAGCATTCATCTTTCCTTCACATCTCTAATATTAGGTTGTGACGGAAGAAACGGCACACACAGAACCCAGTGGAAGCCCTCTTTAAAATAGCTTATTTAAAAAAAAAAAAAACAAACAAAAAAAAACAAGTAGACAGTCAGCAAAGTGAGATTAATTAAACATATCTTTAGGTTTAATTTGACTAAATTGGTGCCTATGCACAACAAAATGACCACAATCGGATATTGTGCACCTGTACAGGACAGAGGGCATATCTGTGTCACCCTGGGTGAGGCACACAGAAAATAAACCACTGCAGGACGCTGCCAAGGGCCTGTGCCAAAAAGCCCTGATAAATACCAGCAGGGGGCTTTGAAGGGAAAACCCTCCAATAAGTGCTTGAAATTGAGACCACATTTTGTATAACCTGGTTTAAAAAGGGTTGGATGTATACAACAGATGGTCACAACGCATGGATAGACAAACACATGCAGCTGGGTGCTCTCATTTTCCTTAGAGTTGGATTGCTATATTTCTGATAACTGCTAAGCCTGTTAGCCGTTTGAGCAAGGTGGAACAAAAATAGCCCAGCGTGTCTGCGCTGGAAATGCCCTCATCCCCACTGACAGTGTGACGCTGTAGAGTGCTCCAAACAGTAGGGTGGAAAACTTTAGGATGTTGACTAGACCAGCGTTTACTCATATGACCAGCTGAAACTTTGACTCATTTTACACATTTAAAGCTTGTGTAAATGTGTTGATACTTGGAGAATTTTTAACAACAACAAGAAAATGAGAAAAGAATGATCAAAATAGCTGAAAGGAATTTAGAGATCCCCACACTGCGACAGAAAAGCAGGCCTTCCGTTTGGGTGATGCATATCTGTTTGCTGTGCAGGGTGTGACAATATTTTTGGTGAGTTGGTAAAGATTCTCAGTCATCCAGGTCAGAGTCACTCCAAAAAAAGAAAGTTAAAAACAATCCACTGGACTTTGTTTCCAAGTTTGAAGACGTTTAACTTCCCATCCAAGAAGCTTTTTCAATTGAAGTGTCAGAATGTTCACATTTTGGATAAAGAAAATAGTTGGTTTGAGAGGGGATGTGAGGGAAGCCTGCTATGTTAAGAAAAAACAACCTTAAACAGAGGAGGTGAACTGAGATTTCAGCTTTCAAAAACCTACAATGCAGCAATTGAGTTAACCCCTTCCCCTTATCGCAGCCCCAATCTCTGTACAGGAGAGCAGACCTCGCCTATTCAGCCAGGCCAACAATTCCCTTTAACGACCCCCCTTTCGTAGACTTAAGACAAATTTATGCTTCTGACTCAGAGCCTCTACAACCATCAAATCCGTCTCTGTGTGCGACCACGCCCCCCATGCAGGGGTTCTGCAACAGTCGTCTCGCAGCTCAAAAAAATCCTGACTATGCTTTGGATGGTCGCAAACCCGCGAAAACCTCAAGCAGAAGTGTGCAGACAAAAAGCAGCGGTGCTTGGTCCTTGGTATGCCTTTCCAGCTGTCTGTGTGGTCGTCCTTCTCGATTCGGGGCCGGGGTCATTTTTAAAAACTAAGGAACAACTACAACGGACAACTACGACGAAAGGTTAACCTATCTTTTTGCCAACTCCCTTAGCAGAATATTTTCTTCTTTGATGTCTAGCAACTCTAGATCCATCTCTGTGACTGATATCTTGCGTCCCTAGAAATTCCAGACCAACGGTGCAGAAGCATAGCAGCAAAACTGGTTCGCGACCAGACCCCATATTTTATTTTGATTTAACCTTTATAGACTTATTTCCAGAATCAAATTTCTTGAAAGCAATTTATACAAATCTGTCTTAAAATAACTATAAAGGTTCCCATTGGATTTTTGGCATTTGGGTCAACTGGTAATGCTTTTTATATGAAGCTGGATAACTAAAGGATAACTAAAAACAGAGATGGATGAAAGGAGAACAGGACTACAGAGATAAAAGATTCATAAATAATACACAAATACAGAATTAAAGAGAAACATAGTCTTGAGACACACTTAAGCATACATTTACAGAAATATAAACTAAATGCAATTTATTTTTCCTTTTTTTAAGAGGGAAAACTGCAGCATGCTTTTTAGGTTCGATGTGAAATATTAGTGGGAGCAACCGGTTTCCCACAGCAGCTTATTTTTAGGTCACTTTAAATTCAGATCACATTGAAATACAATAAACAGCATCAGTACAAATAGTAACCCTAAGCAGAAATTGTGCATAAACAAGCTTAACACATAAGACACCTGACTCCATGCTAGGGATACACTCCGACGTGTAACCATTTAAAATATCAAAATTGTCAATAGAAAAGATATGGCTAGCAGTTTATTGAACATAGAGTAATCTGTGTTCGTTTAACATTATAGGTCTGGAATAAACTAACAGACAAAACGAATAACAAGGTTTTTTTTTTAACACCACCCTCAATGTTGTGTAACTGTGCGGGAATGGGGCTAAATGACAGAGCTAACGGACTTAGCCTAGCCTAGCATGCTATCATAATTCTCTAATTGACTTAACAGTTAAACGGTTTTTGACACTACGCTCAGATACATTAAGGCTTTTATTATTTCCTGTGAACTAAATTGGGCGCAATCCCTGATTAAACATCGTCGTCATGCTGTGGATAACAGACAAAACTAGAAAAAAATATTAATAGCTTAATAACGTGGCTATCTGAGCCAATCTATATATAAAAAAACACAGCAAGGGAGATACATAGAGAAACGACCAAACGAAACGAATTAAGTCGCAACAATAAGGAGGTATCTTAACGAATAACTATAAGGAGAGATTAAAAACTACGTGGGTCTTTATAATAGCAAAGTGCGTTGCTAACGTTACTAACACCTAGCCAAGTTTTCCAAGTTAGCTCCTCTCGTTAGCACTGATACATCGTAGGTAAAATAAAACGTTTGCAACTTAACATGCATATGTTAGCCAATTCAAGAGTGTCACTGGATTGAATACATTAATTGCGTTTGATGAAAGCCCATAATGAAACGGGCAAAACAATTTTCCAACTGCGTGTATAAGCTACATCATTAGCTGCTCGGCTAACACGCTAGCCGAGTAGCTACACAAAAGTCACAGAGCAGTTTTCTTATCACTACTTCCAACTACAGCAAATATACTTGAAATACATTTACACTTTTAGTTATAAAAACGACTTACCCATTGTGGTATTTATATTTTGAGTACAGAAGGCCGTGAAGATGTATATAAAGTTCAAATTCTTTCCCCTACTGCTAGCTTTCCAGAATTTGCTCCAGTAAGCAATATGGCTGCCGGAGACGGAAACGTCAACTAAGAGCGCAGGAGCGACATCCTGCCACCAGGGGGCTCCCCAGTACAACAAATATTACAGCCTATCCCTCAGTGATAAGCACGCTGTTATTTTTTACATAATGAGCTCGTGTTTTTTTTGGCGCGACTTATTAGCTAACAAAAAGTTTAAAAACCAACTGGCAAAAAAGAAAAAGAAATGTTTCCATACAGTGAAACAAGTGCCTTAGATAGATGGATGGATGGACCCGAAAACAGTCAAGAAATGCAGTTATTTCTCCAAAATATTTTTTATTCTGTTCTTATTCAGGTGTGTAAAATACTACAAATTTTTGAGACATGGTTCTTTTTAAATCTCGAATGTCTCTCTCATCAACATCAGATTTTTTAAGAACCAGGAAATTCCTTTTTTTTTTTTTTTAAGGAACACTCAATGCACTGCATTAAAAAGATACATGTTAACATTAGTTATTGCTGGATGTAGCTGTTGAAACCTATTGTATGTAAAAATCATTCAGTATTGTTAATGGTCAGGGTAACTGTAACTGTATTCTATGTAAAGATAATTTTTTTTTTTAAGGCAGATGCTGATGATGATTATTGTCATCAGTTGAACTGATCTCAGATATGTGTTGCCAATATGGTGGGGGGTTCTTTAGGCCAACGTTGCAGCAATTAGCACATTTTTACCCAAGACTCATTTTGAGCAAAACAAAAACAAACATTTAAAAATAATAATTTAACTTTATTGATCTCACACTGGAGAAATTCACACTCCACATTTAAACCATCCTCTTAGGGAGCAGTGGGCTGCCATTGCGAGGCGCCTGCAGAGGAGTGTAGGGTTAAGGGTCTTGCTCAGGGAGCCAGTCTGTGGGGATCGAACCGGGTACTTGCAACCTTCTCAGAGCAAAAGCACACTGCTCTAACCACTAGGAAATCACGTCCCCACCATCACCTCCAAATCGGAGCATGCAGCTAGAGCTCACTCTGTACAGTGTGAGTTCACAGCTCATGATGTATGTTCTCACATTGTGCAGCAAGACGCTCTGATGCGATCTACCTGCAAAAACTGTACATCTAGAAACCATGTGGGACTCAGCTCTGCAGTGAGATGGCGCTACTCTGACTCGTCTATCTGGCACTTGTCTATCTGAAGAGGAAAATATAACTCACTAGAGAGAAGCGCGCTGCCTTGGCAATTTGTGCAATTTTGTGCTTAAAGCCCTAAAAAGAAAAGACGACGACGTATTTTGACAAAGACATGGCTGAGCAACCGTAGCTACTACGGTCTGTCAAATTTATAGAAAGAACTCCATCCTTGTTTACCCACTTTGCACACGACGGCCGACTGAATTTCAGACATGTTTGATTTTCTCCCGACCTCACAATTACTGATCAGGAGGTGGTCGTAAGAGGCTGATCGCCCCTCGTTACCCCCTGAACACTACACGATGCACTATCAGGCTGAAAGTCGGGCCGATTGGAAAAATCCTTGCAGGACTGGAAAGTCGCCCCGAAAAGGGCAAAAAATCGCACAGTGTGCGCCCGGGATTAACAAAAACTAAGAAAAAACAATAGATAACAAATATGTATACGGAGCGGCAATGCATGTGATCTCAAGGCATGGCCACTAAGGAATTGACAAAGGCATGCAGGTATCGGTTGATGTCGATGAAATAAACCAATATATTGGACTATGTCTAATTCTATGTTTCTTGATGCAAAATCAGACAGTTTGGAATCCGTACTAAATGTAGCTTTACAAGCAACACTGGAAAAGCTGTTTCTTAAATGTGTCAAATATGTTGATGCAATAAAAGCCTCTTATTAGATATGTGGGGCCATGGTCCATCATATTTCCTTAAAGCTACAGTGTGTAATTTTTACAGGAATATAAAGTCAGAAATGTAATATATTATACATAACTATGTTATTTATCATCACCTTTGAGCTCAGCCTTTTAACCATAATATTTGCGTTGCCTTAGAATTCGTTATTTATAATTACATAGGAGCGGGTCGCGCAGCCATGGGGGCTGACATCTTTGCTCTACGGCAAGTGCAGAGGCAATGAACTAGCGATTGCGAGATCTCCCATTACGCTCGAAAATAACTACGGCAAGTTGAGAGAGATGAACTGAGATGGTACTGAACAGTAGATGGCAGTATTATGCCTGAGAAGCGTTTAGTCTGCCTGAAACCAAAGAAGAAGAAGAAGCAGGTATACGGCGCTTCAGTAACAACAAAGGTGAACAAGGCGGCAGGCGTGAGTGACTTGGCAAACTGTTTGGCACTGTGTGGCCAAACATCAGACGAATGGAGGATCATGCCTACTCTGTATCACAACGAAAAGCGGCGGACACCGAACCCCCGTCATCTAAGAAGCGGAAACACGACGAGAATAAACTCAAGCGTGACAAGAAACGGCAAAAAACACGGATCAACATTGGCACGGCATTTCCACGATGGAAGTCACTGATGGAGGAAAAAGGTTTTCAAAGTGACGCTCAAGTTGCCAGTTTTCTCTTGGACAGGTAATTAATCCTACACACACAATTGTCTAATATCACTGCAGTTTTTGGAGTACAGGATGCTCAGACCTGTCTAAAACAATAACATGCTGCGTGATGATGCTGTTACTCTCCAGTATACTTATTCAGCAACGTCCCTGACGTTTCACAGGTAATGATTCAGTAATTTTCTGTAAAATAATTTTCTGGATATATACCTCGGTTTCTTCTCTCCGGCTCCTTTGGAGATCTTCAAGCCTTTCCTCCTCTGCTCTAGTCACCCCGCTGGCACCCCTCTCTCGCCTGGCCCTAGCTGCACGCCCTCGCCCTCTTCCTCTCCCTCTTCCTCGCCTTGTAACCCCCGTGCCACAAACAAGACTTGGACTCTGTAAACGGGGAATATATATTCTTCTAGCGAACACAATCTCGCTGTTAAACTAATGACTACCATTACTTCGTCTGTTTATATCACCATGCAAAGCAGCTCACCAAAACGTCACAACGACGTAGAAAAAATAACGGGTATATTTATTATCTAAAGTCTACATGAAATCTATACCCTACACAGACTAATGAAATACTATCTGTAAAATTATCTATGTAAACAAACCTCATCACTTGAGAAGGTAGGTGATTCCGACGTCGTGGAAGACATTTTGTCCCGTAACGCTCGCCGTACTGTTGGGGGGGAGAAGCGGTGGGGGGGAGATGTTCATGTTGCTGCGGTCTGCAGTCTGGACGTTAGATGTCGCTGAAAATTACACACTGTAGCTTTAAAATAAGCATGGCTCTGTACCAATTTAAAAACACACGACCTTTGCAGAATAAAAAAGGAAGTTTAGGGGATTCATTTCTGCTTAGAGGTCATATTTTGAAAAAATTGTGGAAAATGACAGGCACATTTAGACCAAGACAGGCTCTTCAATGTTGACTGGCATTTTGCGATCCTTCTTGTGTCAACAGACGTACTAAAGTGGTGTAAGTGTGCAGGAATCATGATGATGTGTTTTGATTGGGTAAAACAAAGGTTTCAGTTGTTAGTTAGTTTCTCTGTGGGCTAAGGCTTTTCCAAAGCTGACAATAAATGTTATCTTCAAAGGTGACAAATGAAGAATTCTGGAAACCCATCTGAACGAATCCAGAAAAAGACCAAAACAGATGCTTAGATTACTTCCACGTTAGTTCCTGTATCCGTGAATTAATATTGATGGATTTTTTGTATCAGTGGGAAAAGCAATTTTTTATGTGTTTTTGTCCCATAAAAAAAGCAAAATACCACATGGGAGGTTTTTGCTTAAATCTGGTAAGTTTGTCTTCATCCAGAGTGAAATGAGTCCTGTTTCCACATGAATAAGCCATTACTCACAAAGGCAATATGGACATTCAAATTACAATTTGAACATGCTCTTTAGTTTTTTTTAATTAATCATGTTTTTTTTTGGTCTTCTAAAGCCATATTTAACCTCTTTGACCTTAATTAATCTTTTCACATTCGCAGAAAAGAGGTAAAAGCATTACAAAAGCAAATACTATACTTCACAGTAATGTCTGTTTTCAATCTTTCACAGTTTAGGGGGAAAGAAAAGTAATCTGTAAGCAGGACAGATGCAACACAGTTATAACACTTTAATTCTAACAAAATATAATCAAAACTTAACCAGACAAAAATGGACTGAAGTCACACAAATAAAAAGTCAGCCATTTTATGGAAATGTATGTACATTTTCAAAAAATAAAGCTTGTTTAAGTTGGCATTCTAGACAGCATAAGGAAAAAAAGTGTGTCTTTTTTATATTGTATATATATATATATATATCAGCACCTCAAAACTTGTAGATTCAAATTTAGTGAAACAGTTTCTACAGAAAAAACTGATGCAAGGGAGCTGGAATCAAAAGCAACAAAATTCACATTTTCTTTATAATATTTTGGAGAGCTGTTATTTTTCTCTCTGCCTCATAACCATACACTACTTTATTGTTAAAAGCACTGATATGCTAAAGTACAAAAACATGAGAACTAGGTGGATGCATATTTTTATGTGCAACACAGATTTTCCTTTTTAGTGCCCATGTTTCTTTTCGTATAAAAATGAACCACTAGTTAAACAATAACTGATATAAATGAGTTTAAAACACATCGCCACATGATGCAGCATTCTTCCAAAGTCAAATTTCCTTATATCTTCCACCCTCTGTCCTAATTTAGATGCCTCTATTTCAGCTGTATCTGTATATTTCCCCTTGGTTTCAAGAGGCACTGTGAATGGTCACAGATCCCCAGTGTTTTGTGTTTTCCTTAAATTGAAAGTGACAAGGTTATACAGGTGAGGCGCATCTATGGTCGATTTGCTGGGAGCAGGAGGTGGTAAATTACTGCACTATATTGTGATGCACCATCGTCCTGTGACATTGGTCCCTCAGGAAGCCCGATGTGCAGCCAGAGAAAACTTTAGGGGGCAATGTTGCACAAATGAAAGAGAAAACGACTCTTTTCGGACGAGATCTGTCCGCTGCTTCAAAGGGTGT